GGGAAAGAAAAGTACAGATAGTTGTCCTGTCAGATCCATCAGCAAGAAAACAGCACGCATTATTTTAAAGCTACCAAGGACAAACTTCTTGTTAAAAAGGACATGCACTACCTAACGCTTTCCAACAAGACTATAATCACTATCACAAAACTCAGCAATTGTAAGAGAGATCTACTTGTTATTTTCCTTAGTTCAGATGTAATCCCTGGGCAAACCTTTTTTTTTTTTTTTTAAATTTATTTATTTTTCAATATAGACAAGACTTTAAGCTGTAGCTGCTCAGGGGTTTGATTAACCACATCATTTCCAGTATTTCATTTTTCTGATCTCAATCACTGCCAAATTATGGATTATTTTGCTTTTCCTTACCCAGGCAATCCATATCTAACTGGCAGTGACATCTAGTACAATTAAAATGACCTTCAGGCATACAGCATTTTACATAAATAGGCCAATGACCAGGGCTTGAAGGACTGGGGGAGGGGGAACGGGGTGTTCTCAGGCATGAACCGCATGGTTAAAAAAGCTGGAACAATCCAGAAGCTGACAGCAGCAGCGCGATTCTTGCTCTGGTCAGCCCCACAAAAATCAGCTCGGCGGATCCTTTTCCTCCCATATTTCCTCGTTTTGCTCACACTTACAAGCATGACAGCCTGCCCATTCCGAAAGTTTCCACTTTCAGTTGAGAGTAAAAAAACCTTGTGGTAGAAATACCCATGTTAAGAGAGATTTTAAAGACTGGTGACATCCAGCCCTTCCTGGGAATTCACACACATAACCTTCCCTGCAGGTACGGACCCAGCGGCAGGCGCAGAGCCCCAGCAAAACGTGCTGAGAGAACAGGGATTATACGGCTGCGGCTGTACGGAAACGCTGCTCCAGGCTTGGCCACGCCGTCGGGCCCTGCCACTTCGACAAGCAGGTAATAGCTTACCGAGATTTTACTCGGTATATAAGGTTTCTGTCTGACCACTTCTAACTTCACATACTCTCTAGCCTGCATGTCTCCTTTGACTCCGGAATCAAAAGTTAACGCTAAGGTATGAAAATGCGAAGACAACCCCTGTCCCCACATTCCTAACACGTGGGAAGAAGTACTGCCTGAAGCTGCCCAAAATGAAAAAAAACCCATAACATCAACAATAAAAGCTTACTTTAATGTTATAAGTCAGTCATTTTAAAGCATTAGCTATATCCTAGACTCTCCGGGATGAGCTTCAAAGATTTATTTTTTTTAAAGACACAACAATGTCAGTTTCTAAAAATCAAGTAAAATATTTTTCTGCTTAATTGACATTATTCCTATTTCTATTTAAAGAACAGCAGTAGAGTACGCTACGCTTAGTCTTCGAAGTAAATAAAGTGTTGGCAAAACAAGTGAACAGTTACTCCTCTAAAGTGAAGGGGGAAAAAAAAAAGAAAAAAAAAGAAAAAAAAGAAGAGTAAGATGGGGGGAAGGAAGTCTCAGTTTTCAAACTCAGAAGAAAGCAAAACCCCCAACCTATTGAAAAAAGAAAACAAAACCCCAAGCCAAAGGAAAAAAAGAGCCCCATAGGTATTAGGCCAGACACTGCTGC